GTTTTGTATATTTTTCCCTCTGAATGTGTGAGATGTACCGTGTGCTTCTGAGTGTGAATATTATGTTACTTTGTCTTTTTTGAGTTCTTTGTTATTAAGAGAATAAATGAGGCGAAATAACGAAAAGAAATATCCCACGAGTTATGTTTGGAGAGAGAGAGAGACATAGATACATACAGACAGACGCCATTCATACATTACATACGTACATGTCACACCCACATACATTACGTACATACATACATATGTTACATAGACACACATACATTACGTACATATGTTACGTACATACATACATATGTTACATAGATACAGACATACATGTTACATACATAAATACATAATGTTGCATACACACATACATTACATACATACATACATGTGTTACACAAACACATACATGCATACATAAGTTACATGCACACACCCATTACATACATAAATACATGTTACATATATACATACATAAATGTGCTACACATACATTACATACATACATGTTGCATACACACATATATACATATATTACATACATACATACATTAATATGTTACATACACACATACATTACATACATAACATTGCATATATAAATACATACATACATACATAGATTACATATATACATGCATAAATTACATGCACAAATACAGACATACATCGCATAATGTACTTACCATACCATGCTGGCATTTTACACGTAGCTGGCGAATTAATAATAACTAAGAAGCCCTCAGTGGTGCTTCTATAACCGTGTAAAAGTGTCTGGTTATGCTAAAAAAAATGTTCTCCGTAACATGAATCCACCTCCGTAGTGTGTGTTGGGAGGAAGGAGGAAAGGAAGATAGGAAGGAAGGGAGGTAAGGAAGATAAGTAGGAAGGGGAGAAGGAAGTAGGTAGGAAGGAAGGGAAGTAAGGAAGATAAGTAGGAAGGGGAGAAGGAGGTAGGTAGGAAGGAAGGGAGGTAAGGAGGTTAAGTAGGAAGGAAAGAGGTAAGGAAAGTAGGAACGTTAGTAAGACCTAACGCGACGCGATGCGAAGCGGCGAGCTGCATCTGCTGCGAGAGGCGCGGGAGTCGCCAGGCTGAGCAGGCGAGATTCAACGAAGTTAGGTTAGGTTTGACAAGACACAACACACGCCTATAATTACCATTATAATTATGGATATAATTATGGTAGACGTAACTATGTAATGAATATTGATTCGATTATCAATGATAAATGAAGGTATGCGAGTCCAAAGGGTATTTCAGAACAAATTGCCCTACAATACATATATTAAGTGTTTTGTCAGTTTAAACCTTCATCTATAACATGGGCATCGATATTTACACATTAATGCATTCTATTCCATGATGATAGTGCATTAACGTAAAAATGTCGGTAATATTTAATGAACACAACTGGCCCGAGAACACCTAATGTTCTTAACAAAGTTAACTGACATTGCATTTGGGTTAGGTAAGGTTAGGTTTGGTTAAACAAAATTTAACATAAGCAGCCTAACCATAACCTAACCTAACCATAACCTAACCTAACCTAACCTAATCTTAACCTAACGTACCTTAACCTAACCTAAATTTAACCTAACCAACCTAATCTAACCTATCCTAACTTAACCTAACCTAACCTTAATCTAACCTACTCTAACCAATCTATCTAACCTAACCTAACCAATCCAATTTAACCTAACCTAACCTAACTTAACCTAACCTTAATCTAACCTACTCTAACCAATCTATCTAACCTAACCTAACCTTACCTTACCAAACCAAACCAACCCAACCTAACCTAACCTAACCTAACCTAACCTTACCAAACCTAACCTAACCTAACCTAACCAATCCAATTTAACCTAACCTAACCTAACTTAACCTAACCTTAATCTAACCTACTCTAACCAATCTATCTAACCTAACCTAACCTAACCTTACCTTACCTTACCTTACCTTACCAAACCAAACCAACCCAACCTAACCTAACCTTACCAAACCTAATCTAACCTAACCTAACCTAACCTAACCTTACCAAACCAACCTAACCTTACCTTACCAATCTACCCTACCCTACCCTACCTGCGATGTCAGTTAACTCGCGCAACTTACGCTGCCAACCTAACCACACCAATCAATGAACAGTGGTGTATAACGAGTATGAAATAATTATTCTTATGTTTCTCATATCTATTTTCTAAAGATAATTACATTTATATTTCTCATAAATAATAGTTATATATCTCATGGATTATCATATTCATACTTCCATATTTTGTATATCTACTATATATTTGAGGATATGCACGTCCAAAGGTGTTCTCGGACCAGGTGTGTTCATTAAATATTATGCTAATTTAATAACTCCTCATTTAACATAAACACCGACATCATCACGTTAATGCACTGCCATCATGGAATAGAATGCATGAACATGTCGAAATTGATCTAAATTGACAACACACTTATTAAATGTACTGTAAGACAATGTACTTAAGAGACCATTTG